AATGTCATTTTAGTATGAATAATAATAAAAAGACTGTATATTCCATTGTTCGGATTTTGTTGAGCAAGTAGTATATGCATCGTAGCTTGTTTATGTCCGATTTGAGCCAGGACTTGGCGGAACTACTCTTATGAAGAGGAATTGTGGAAACCGCCGCGTTCTCAAGAAGAACCACGGCGTGGCGAGAGATATACCTCTCGTGTATAAATTGTTTCAACATGTCCCTTCCTGAGTCTGTTTTGCCATTCTAAAGTCTTTATAATCTCTATGACAACATAACGCATAAGCCCAACTTCTATCTACTTTTTCTTCCTATCCAGTGCTTTCTTTGAAGCTTTCTTTCTTGCAATTCTCACCATTTTGTAAAACCAAAACACATTCAACAGGTCCATTCCAAAATTCAACAACAATATTATTGCCGGAATTGCATTGTTTATCTGATCCAACGAATAAGACATGTCGATAGCCAATTGAACAGCTGCATAGAACCCCCAAACAATTCTAACCATAAAGAACACAATCATCAACAAAAGACCATTGACGATTACAAATTTCTCACTAAATGTACCCTCCGGCATGCGAGAAGCATACCAGTTCAAGTTGACAAATGGGGTACTGAGCTCGAAAACAAGGAAACTTCCCAACCAAGGCTGACAATACGGTATAAGTGCGCATGCTATTACGAAAAAAGCAGCAGCGCCATGAAACAAAAAGCCAACACCGAAAATATCAAAGTATCGAACACACACCCACATATCCCATACGAAATATCCAATAGATATAGCCGAACCCATACTGCCAAATGGAGTTGATCCTAAAAGTGAGTTCACTGGGTCGTTGGATCTATTACGCCAATGTGGATTGTTGAAGTGGTAATAGGTTATCACAATGGAAATTATACTCTGCACCATTGACACTACATGGATGTCAAAGTCAATTTGCGTCTTCTTGGGTAATGACGTGTATGTTTTGCCCAAGATTCGGGTCGCCAATGGCTTTACAATCGCTTGCAAGGTGAAGTAAAACACAGCTGCGGCAACAATCTCATGCCAGTGTGTGGCGAGTACACTTTGAGGGTTTTTGGGGAACGGCCTGTAGCTTTCAAACGGGTCTAGAATGACTGTAGGGAAGAAGTCCAACATTGTAGTAGTTGTAGATGTTACTCTTGGTAATTCTGAAAAATCGTTGCATTTATTTTTTCTTTATCCTCAACTTTTCATTTTCTTTTCATTTTCTTTTTTTTTTTTTATTTTTTTTTGGGCCGAAGTGTGCTGCTGATACGGCATTCGATTTCCTAGGCGTAGTTCTACACGGAAACTCATAAAAGATGCGATTTGAGTAAGAGGTACATTCGCGCTAATGGTTGAATATATGACATAGGAGTGTCATAACTCGATGGGATTATCCTGCATCATGTACCCAGCATGAAATGTCGTTATTTATACCTACGCGACTTGGATTCTTATTCATTGAGTAGCCAGTCTGTGTGTATAGCTCACCTTGACTTCTCCAGCTTCAAAGAATCTAACGTAGCTTTGGGCTATTGTGGTGCTGTGAAGGAAATAGGGTATTGTATGTGAAATTCATCCAGCACTTTGTTGAGAAAAGAAAAGAATTCAAGACGCGATTATTTTTGGTTGCAAAACGATGCGACGTGTTTTGGCGTCGCGGCGCTTACTCATTAAGAAGACTACTACAAGTGTGACACATCTGTCGGAAATTATGATACTGTGTAAAGTATTGATAAAGCTATATAGAACGTCGTGAGGGCCCCATTCGGCGTGGTTTAATATTACGATTTATCCTATATAGTATTCCGTATTTTATCATTCTCCGTGTTCCAACTTTTATCTTCTTTGCTTTACCAAGAACGAGGTTTACAGATTAAAGTTCAGCTATGGTTTATATCAAGGAAGGTACCAAGGTTGAAACCAAAATTTACGTATATATCTGATTGATTTTCACTTGCTTGTCGCAAATATCGGGGATCGGCTCAACTATCAGACAACTCCCAAAAAAAAGCGAATTTACCATTCTTCCTAAAGGTTGTCTTCAAAAGGTTGTCTTCCTCTCCAAAGCAATCACGGCAATCTAAGGTTCCAACGTTATGAGAAGTAATTGCATGTGTGCATACACGCAGACCACAATGTTTTTGCAGAACGGGGGTTATTGTTGCAAGGGTAATAGAGAGATATTTCAATCAGCCGCGTATTGTAATACCCACTGCAAAAGAAAAAGAAAAAGAAGAAGAAAAAGAAAAAGAAGAAAAAAAAAAAAGGTTCAAAAATTAAATTTCTCTCTCTCCTTCATCATTCAACATTCAAAAAACTTATCAATTGAGAGAAAGACAGCAATAGAAAGCTGTAAACTTCTGTCTTACTACACCCACACACCCACACACACACACATCAACACATCCACTATGTCTGGACCTCCACCAGTAGTGCGAGCTATATACTCCAACGTATGTTTCATTTCCATTGCAAACCTTCATGGCTGAATTTTTTTATCTCCTCAATTTCCTGGGCCTGACGCGTCCACTGAGAAAATGAAGAGTAACCTAGTTTCAGCCAGCAACCGTCTCTGCAATACGCACACAGACGATAGCTTCAAATGAGACAATGTTTTACTAACAACCTACCCTTTAGACTGAGGTTTATGAATGTGACATGAACGACTCTCCTATAATGAGGAGATGCAAAGACGATTGGGTGAATGCCACACAAATTTTAAAATGTTGTAATTTTCCCAAAGCTAAACGGACAAAAATCTTGGAAAAGGGTGTACAACAGGGCTTGCATGAGAAAGTTCAAGGAGGGTTTGGTCGTTTCCAGGGAACTTGGATACCTCTTGAGGATGCACGCCGATTAGCACACACATATGGGGTAACGAGGGAACTAGCACCAGTCTTGTTCTTGGACTTTAACGACCCCAATTTAGTGATCCCAGTGAAAGCAAAGCCTCCTCCTAAGGAAAGTACTAATTTGATTAAACGAAAGTACATCAAAAAGTCAAAGCAACCGGGCGACACCCCTAAAAAGTACAAGACGGGCAAGAAAGCAGCCTTGCAACAGGCGGCAGCAGCAGCAGGTGGAGGAGTAGCATCGGCCGACATACTGATGGGGGAGTTACAACCCTCTGCTCATAGCTCCTTTATCTCACAGGATGCAAACGGGACACATTCAAGACTGAATTCGTTTATTGCTCCCCCCAATTCTTATCCACAAGGATTCATCAATGGTCAACAAACAGCTCGCAAATCATTGCCGCATCCGGTACCCCAACAATTTGACCACATGGCATTGACGCCTCATAGTGCAGGCACCTCATTTTCCCAGCCAGAGTATCCACCATTCAATGGAAGCAATAGTCTACCCAGTTCGCAAAATGGGTATCCAAACTCACAATTGATACTGCGGTTTCAACAATTCCAACCGCAACAGTTTCCCCAAATGTACCCGCAACAAAACAGCAACGTGAGACAATTTCCTATACCTATACCAAATCCAATTCCACCGCAAGTGTATGCAGAGGGTAAAGTGCTCTCATCGCAATCTTCAAATGAATCAAACTGGTCGTTACACAATGACCAAAAGGAGAGCGATACATCGATAACCTCCAGCATGGGAGACAGAAAACTGTTTAGCAATGGGAGTCAACTACCACAGGATGAGCCAACCCCCGGCGATGACAACAGCTATTCAGCACAGCTTTTGAAATTCTTTAGTGAAGATAGTGCCGATATTCCATATTTTGTTCACAACCCGCCATCTGATTTCAACATCAATGAACCTATTGACGACGAAGGGCACACGCCATTACACTGGGCTGCATCCATAGGCAACTACGAAATGATTCACACCTTGATCAGCAAAGGAGCTAACCCATTGATTGTAAATAACTTTGGATTGAACCCGTTGTCAAAGTTGATTTCGTTTAACAATTGTTACGAGTTGAGAAATTTTGACAAAGTTTTGAATGATTTAGAGTTGTGTTTGATCAATACCGATATCAATGGAAGGACACCATTACATTACTTGTGCCAATTTGCCAAAGTAAAGTCAAAATTCGAAAGTTTGCAATCGTATTTGAATTCAATCTTGACAAAGTTGCAGGTTCTAACCAACCAGAGCCAAACGAGACTGGTTAATTTGTTGAAGAATGTTTTGAATCATCAAGACGTACGCGGTGATACGTGCTTACATATTGCTATAAAGTCGGGGTGCTCCAATTTTGCTCAAATTTTGATCAAATATGGAGCTAGAGACGACATTGAAAATATCGATAGACAAACAGCGAGAGGCTTGATTGTTCAATACAATATAATACCAAACTATACGCAAATTGATTCCGCGCAGGAAGCTTATCAAACTCAATTGTCGATGGGTTATTACGAGCCAAGGAATAGTGCGCGAAGTTTACAAGACCAGCAAGCTTCCGCTCAAGGTTTAGCGACTCCGATACAACCAAGCTTCCATAGAGTTGAAACGCCAGATACACAACGGACTACAGTACAGGATGACGATGTTGAGGAAGATGACGAACCAATGGCCAGGGTTGATAGCAGGCATCTTGAAGCTTTGAACGACGACGATAAGGAAAATATATTTGTTGAAAAACGTGGAGATAATATGTCGCCTCCAACAGTACACCGTAACCAACTTAACTCAGTTCATCAACCATTAGCTGTGATATCCGAGATTGAGGCAGCGACAGCAGCAGCAGCAGCAGCAGCATCTTCACCTTCGTCTATCTCTGGCACACAGCATCCGGCCATGATTCAGCATTCTCCACTACCACCAGCAGCGGCACCACATCATACACATCATAGTATAGCATCGCAACAAATAGGTCACGACAAGATTACCCAATCACTGCGTCGCATCTTTACGAAACCAAATCCACCCAAGTTGGATGACGAAGGAAAAATTGTGCAGAAGGAGGAGTCAGATAAGAGCCTACCTCTTGAGGATTTGTCAGTCATGATTACAGGAATGATTGGTTCATTTTCAGGTTCATACAAAGAGGAGTCGAGCCGATTAGATAAGCACTTGGCTCAGTTGAAGTCATCCTTTGCTGAAAAGCAAAGCGAAACAAACAAGTCATTAAAGTACATCAAGAAACTTTTCCGTAGTTCTGGAATCGAGCTCGAAACCAACGAGTTCAATACAATTGAAGAAGCACAATCGATTGTCAACAAACACATTCAGCTCTGCCAGCAGAGCATAACCGAAAATGAATTCAGAGTGACAAACATTATGCAACGGAGTCAGGCATTTGACTTGGCGTCCTTGGTACAGAAAGAAGAGCGCGCAACTATGGATTTGAAATCAAATGGACATCGCGATCATGAAGATGACGATCATGAAGATGATGATGACGATGATGATGATGATGGCACCAGTGATTTAGTAAATGAAGAGAAATTTGACATGGCTGTTGAATTGACCCAGTATCAACTACAGAGAACTAAATTGGTGAATGAAATTGCCAAAAGTACGAAAATGTTTGGAATTGATGATACAATGTACAAGTATAGAAAATTGTTGAGTTTGAGCTGTGGTGTACGCGTGGAGGATATTGATAGTTTGATTGATGGAATTGCCGAGTCATTAGCTGAGGGTCGTTGATAACTTTTGAGTAATGTTTTTGTAACTGTGTAAATGTATGAGTAATTTTCAATCTAGATCCATTATATTACTACATAACTAACGATGTATTTGCCATTCTCTTCACTTGTAGTGGTTTTCAAGCAGTCTGCGACATCGGTTTTTCAAAAGTCGCTATTTTATCAGTCAATTCGTTAAATAGTTTAGTGACTTTGTCAACTTGAGCTTCATTCCAATTCGTCACCAAGTCTGCGTGATCCACTCGAGAAACAGTAGCATCACCCACAGCACCACCCTCGTCACGCCCCTTTACTTTCACACTACTTAATATCCAGCTTTCCTTCAAACTCCGCAGTATCGACAACAAGTCCTGGCTGAATCTGATTATCTGTATGGCATTACTTTCAATCGTCAATGATTCAATCGATAGTAATTCCTTCGGTTTCTGGTCATTTGTGAGGACCTCCAAGATGTTTTGAAACTTGAGCAAGATCTGCTCAACTATGGAATCTATCTTTTGTAGTAGAGTTATGGATTTCGGTTGCATTGTGGTAGAGTAATTGGAGTTAGATCTTTGTACTTGTGTTGGTTGCAGTTCATTTACGCTTCTTTTTATCTTTTTTTTCTTTTTTTATTTTTTTTTTTCTCGTGTATGTGGAATATTAGGTACAATTTACAGTGAAACTGCTTCCTGTCACTCTCATGATTAAATAAACACTTGTATACATCTCCAAACAAGTTTTACAATCCATGCCAAAACCTTATAAATATTAACCACCACCCAAACCAACTTCAAAACCCCCACAATTATATTTTCAAGAATTAAATAAATGATTTTGTAATTCATCGTAGCATCACTAGTCAAGTCCGGCTTCAACTTGACTTTATTAAAGCTAGATTTCAACAATGACTCCTCTAGTGCCTCTAGCCGTTCATTAGTTTTCCTCAAATCGAGCGATAACGATGCGTTGATTTCCGAAATGGATCGATCCCCAGCACTCAACAAGGTATCAATCTTGATTGAGTATGTGTTGTTCACCATGTGAAGGATAGACTTACTTTCGTCTAAGCATCCTCGTTGCAAATCTTCCAAGGCCGGTAGACTTTCATCGGTAATGAGTGACATCAACTGCAACACTTCCAAAATTGAACTAGACTTGATATGATCCACTTTATTCAGCACCAATTGCAAGTATTTGGGATAGATTGTCAACAAATATTGCATACGCAGAGAACACGATTGTCGCAAATAACTTATACAGCTGATTATTTTGGTCAAATTTTGTTCTTCGCGATCGTTTGCCGGAGTTGTTACAGTGGAGTCAGTTTTATCCATTTTGGTCAGTCTGTCATCATTTTCATTGGACGAGGAAGCACTTGCGAGTAAATCATCATTAGATATACGTTGAGCATGACGTATCTCAACATTTTGCAATTTTGATTGAATTGAAGGATCTGGTGTACTTTGCTCGATACGTATTGTTGGCGGTGCCACCGAATGGCCGTTTGTTGTCGCACTAGGTTGTGTTTCCATCTCGGGCCCTTGAATCAACGGTACGCTACGACGCTTCTCTTCGTCAGATCCAGCTGTATCTGAACCACTACGTGCTAGCTTGAGCCCATTTTCTCCGTGTTCCAAACCCGACGGGTCGTGGGCACTCGACAGCTTATCATCCGAGGATGACGTTAGTTGTTTCAACAAGATGGATGACGAAGATTCTCCTCGGTAGAAGCGTTTTACTTTTGTTCTGAATCTATGTGTGTGCTTGTGGTCGTTATTGGGTCGATGAGAAGAGTTGTCATTTTCAAGATATTTCGAGTTTTGAGGGTCGCTTTCTGAGCCAGTTGACGGCTCCAGCAAAGATTTCAGTACCCCTAGTAGCGATTTGTCCCCCTTTGCTTCATTTTCTGGCTTATTGTGCTTCGCATCTTCATCCGCCAATTCAAATAATCTGTCATGTAGTCTTTGTCTAAATCTATGCTTCTTTTTGTCATGAGTGACGCCATGCTCCAGGTACTCATCAGGGAACCAATAATTTCCATGAGGATCCTTCAACTCATTCCAATGGTGGACCCTCCATCTCGAGTCTCCAATATATTCCTCCAATTCAATGGCCCACACCATTTTCCAATCCTTCCTCAAGTGGTGCCTGTGACCCGGTTGGTTGTGCTTGCTAAACACATTACACGCAAGGGGAATCGTTTTCATATGGAGTGGTTTAGGATACTCATGGTACTTGGCACGTATCTTTCTATTTCTCAAAATCTGGAGTGGATTGTACACTCCTTCAACACCGGGGTGACTGTTATCGTCTTTATAAGTTTCATTCCAGTCATAAATACGCTCAATGTGTAGGTATTTCACTCCTAGCATTGACTTCACCTTTTCCGCGCGTATAAATGTACCTCGACTGATCTTGGCATCCTCATATCGATAATCATGGTGAAGTGGGTTTGGATCCAAGTTTGGTGAGGGATCAACAACATTACACTCTGCTTGAAGGATATTTCTCGTGTCTAGAAAAAGCGAAGCTAAAGCGCCAGCTTTCTTCACTTCATCTTTGGTGAAAAGTTCCAGAGATATGTGCTGTGCTTGGCTTTGTAAAACCGCTTTATCAGTGTTTGTTCCTAACGAGTTTTGTACAAACAGGTCAAGGTTTGCATCTGTGGTAAATTCCTTAACTCCATTATTCTTTGAGGTATTAGCATACAATGGTTTAGGCTTCTGGTGGTGGTTCGTTCTTGAAGAGGACGGTAGCCTAGGTTTCACTGACTGTGAAGATGGATTGGTATTGACACTTGAATCAATAACTGATAATCGGAGTGGAGATAACGGTGAATTTACTTTACCAGTCTGGGGCAGGGATTCATTTGGTTTCTGTGGCATTTAAAGTGCACTTTCTCCTCTCAACTGGCAACACAACCTTGAAACTATGTGAGGAGATGGGGGGGGGGGGGAGGGGGAAGGGTCAACTTGAGCTACTTGTGTAATGAGTGTTGTATCAAAAATATAGTTACACGTTGTGGCTCTCAGGTATATAAAATGCATTCGTCAATGTGGGTTGTATGCAGTCTCACTTCATTTCTTCCCTTTTTTTTTTTTTATTATTTTTATTTTTCTTCTCCCAAATTTTTCAATAGTTGAGGCAGAGACAGAGAAGGAGAAAGAGAGACAGAGAAATCCTTCCCATACTAAAGAGCAGACTTTTTGACAGCACAAACTCTTTTGTCCACAATTGAGCTATACAGCGGTTGTTGCTTCAACATCGGAACATTACACATTACATCTTTGGAAAGCTAATTGTTGACTCTACACAGCCCGATTTCTTCAAACAACGTGCCGAATTTTGTTTTTATTTTTATTGCTACTTTAACCAAGCGTTGACTATAACCGAGAGCTCCCATCATTGCCACTCTTTAACAATGAGTTCTTCGTCAATGTTGAGAAAAGAAATAACAGGACATAACGGAATACTAACGAGAAGGGTTCTATTCCGCAATGTTGCCCAATCAACACAGTATAGACAAGCTAGGTATCCGTTAAGTCCGCAATTACACGGAAACTCTGTCAATTGGGTTAGACTTCAGTCGACGGTACCACCACCAGTGCTGAAGAATGACAAAGCAGCTCCAAAGCAGGCGACTGGTTCCGACTCTTCAAAAGCTCATTCAGCAGTGGAGAATAAAAAGATACAAGAGGAAGAGAAACAAATGGACACCAAGGCGCTTGAGAAATTGGAAAATTCTCCAACAAATGAACTTGTACAAAAGGAGGAGTCTAAAGACAAACCAAAACCTTCACTTTGGGAAAAAATCAAGCATGAAGCGCAGCACTATTGGCTGGGAACCAAGTTGTTGGGTTACGAGATCAAGGTGTCCACGAAATTATTAACAAAATTAATTGCGGGATACGGATTGAGTCGAAGAGAAGCTAACCAATTACAAAGAACTATTGTTGATGTTGTGAGGTTGGTTCCGTTTGCAGTGTTTGTTCTTATCCCTTTTGCTGAACTACTTCTCCCTGTGGCATTGAAAATCTTTCCAAATATGTTACCCTCAACTTATGAATCCAAACAAGATCGTCAAAAGAAGAGAAATAAGTTGAAAAAGACGAGAAATGCCGCAAGTGAATACATAAAGCAAACAATGGAACAATCTGGATTGAAGTTATCGAAAAAGATTACCGATTCTGAACGAGAAAACTTTGTGCAATTCTTCCATGCCATATCGATGGGTAAGAACCCTACAAGAGAGCAATTGATTAAAGTGGCAAGGTTGTTCAAGAATGATCAGGTTTTGGATAACTTGAGCCGTCATCAATTGGTTGCCATGTGCAAGTATATGTCGTTGAGACCATTTGGAACTGATTCCATTTTGAGATATCAAATCAGACATAGATTATTGACTATTATCAAGGACGATAAAGCCATTGATTTTGAAGGTGTTGAATCGTTGTCTATACCGGAATTGCAAATGGCATGTTCGCAAAGAGGTATCAAGACCAGTGACGTTTCACCTGGTAGAATGAGAGAAGATTTGGAAACTTGGTTGGATTTGCGATTGAGACAAAAGATTCCTTCAACTTTGTTGATTTTGAGTAGTGCTTATACGTACGGCGACAACCAAACTACCGAATCATACTATGATGCATTGTTGGCCGTCTTGTCGTCTATCCCTGATGAAGTTTACAATGTCGCTAAATTGGAATTATCTGATGATTCAAAGTTGAAATTGAATATCTTGAAGGAGCAAGATGAATTGATTGAGGAGGAAAACGAGAGAGAGAAGGGTACTGTCAACAAACTTAAGGATGATATCAACTTGGATGAATATGAGGATACTGCAACCGAAGGTGTGAATTACGAACAAGACACTGAGGAGAAAGAGCTCGAAGATGGCATAAATAAGGAGTTGGAAAATGAGGATACGAAGAAGGAAGTCCACAATAAAGCAGTCGAAGACCCCACAGCGCCTATTCGCTCGGAACACGCCAAGGACGAAGAAATTGAGAAGCACGAAGAAGAGAAAGTTCAAATGGACAAGAAGCAAAAAGAGGAAACCAACTCGAAGGAGAAATAGATACAAAAGGGTGCCTCACATCTTAAAGAAGGATACTACTTATTTATATAAAAAAAAAAAACTATACATAGAATTGATACGTTTGCTTCGATCTCTAATTCTTACCAGTAGACCCAAATCCTCCTTCACCACGTTCAGTTTTCTCCAACTTTTCCAAATCGATTTGTTCAATATCAGCATTAACAATTCTCTCCAAAACCAATTGAGCAATTCTGTCACCCTTTTTGATGTCAAAGTCTTTACCTGCATGGTTAAACAAGACAACTTTAACTTCTCCACGATAATCAGCATCAATTACACCAGCTCCAGTGGAGATTCCGTGCTTGACGGCAAGACCAGAACGTGGTGCTACACGACCATAAGTACCAACGGGCACAATTATGGAAATATCAGTGCTGACTAATCCTTGACCGTGAGCAGGGATCGTTGCATCTTCCGAGGAGTACAAGTCGTAACCGGCAGCGAGTGCCGATCCTTTCGTTGGCAACTTACCGTTTTCGGAACGCAAGTAGACTTTAAGACTTTCGGTAGATTCTAATTTTTGTCTTTTTACTGGTTCAGTTGTCATTGTAGGGTAGTATAATATGTAATTGTCTGGATAAAGAAGTGGTGTAGAGTAGATTTTTCACAGAGCGGTCTAAGCAAAAAAAAAAATAAAATCTATAGACGCGTAGTTAGGATTCAACGCGTAAGCCACGACTAACTGTGAACTCGTAAAGCGTGTCCTCCTCGTGTCCTCCTCGTGTCCTCCTCGTGTCCACACTTAGACGTAGAACTGTTCAAACAGAAAAGATTACTCTGCAGTAAATATGAATAGAACTGAAACCACACGCTGTGTGATTTATCTCAAATGTATTTACTAACTACACATGTGGGTGCCATGAATCCTACACCACACCAAAACAGCATATGTTTCAATCCCCACTCTCCGTCTGCCTCCTTAACATCCCCAGTATTTCGAAATTGTCATACAACCTCACGACCAACGCAGTAAACACACCTTGGTGGTTTTCACTTAAACTGTCATCACCTTGTACACCAGATGTCAAATCATTTCCTCTAATCACACAAACCTCCGGCTCATTCAAACTCCTTCCTCCCAATCCTATCAAAGAGCTCTGGTAATATATGCACTGAAATAGGACTAATTGAATGAAAAGTATAAGCAAATCAACAAAAAGAAGCTGAAACAATCCTAGTTGCACGATTTTACTCCATGTAGATGCATCGGGGGAGATTTCCGGCACATTTTCACCAATGAATGAAATGAACCACCAAGTTCCATACTGTATCGTTGATAACTTTTCTTGGTTGACTAATGATACTGCCCACATAGTAATAAACAATGTGTGGTATCCAAGGACAAATAAAGTCTTTAGGTACATCATGTAGCTGTATTCCGGAAGCTTACGTTCCAACGTGCTTCTTCGCGACTCAGCATCAGCATCCTCAAATAAAATGTCCAACACAGTCCTCGAATTTGTGCTGGTGATGATTCGAGGATTTAGTGCCAATAGGACAATGATGTGGCTTAGGAAAGGGATTAGGCACGCGTAATGGCAGTATTTCACGAGCTGGTAAAATACAAGAACGTAACAAAGCGCTTCAAGTTGGTATAATATTTCATGCTGGTACTTGGTTTTGCGATTGACTAATTGATTGGAGATAAATTTGGTTTCCATTTGTTGTTGAACAGTTTGATTCACCACGCTCATTGATCTCTTTCTCAGAAGCAGAGCTGAGGTATCTAGTGGAAACGCACCTGGAATGTTGTATGACGGCAGCTCTGACATGATTTTTTTGGAGATAGAGGCGATGTGTAAATTCCTTCCCACATTCCCTATTTCATTTTAGGTTCTACTTTTTTTTCTTTATATCTTTGTGATCAGTTCGCAACATTACGCTGTTATGGTTAGTTACAATTAAAGTAGCTTACAAGATCTGTATAAAAATGACTTCCTATTAATATACTCTTTTTATACATATATATATATATATATATATCCTTGACAGATAGGGAAATGGTAAAATAAAAAGGTTGAAGTGAAATGTTGTGGGCATCTCTTCTAAACTTAAGCGAAAAGAGAACCAATATCAGCAGGCATTTCTGTGATTTGAGTAGAGTAGAATTTTTCAATTTCTCTCATCATACCAACATCCTTGTCTGTGACAAAGTTGATGGCAACACCCTTTCTACCGAAACGACCACCTCTACCAATTCTGTGGATGTAGTTTTCCTTGTTGGCTGGCAAGTCGTAGTTAATAACCAATGAAACTTGTTGAACATCAATACCTCTGGCCAACAAATCGGTTGAAATCAAGATTCTTGAGGATCCAGATCTGAATTCCTTCATGATGGTGTCTCTTTCTCCTTGTGGCAAATCGGAGTGGATAGCAGAGACGGTGAATTTTTGTTCTCTCAACTTGTTAGTCAAAAATTCAACCTTGCTTCTGGTGTTACAGAAAATAACAGCTTGGGTGACGGAGATAGAATCGTACAAATCAACCAAACAGTCAAATTTGAATTGTTCTTCTTCGACATTGATGTAAAATTGTTTGATACCTTCCAAAGTCAACTCATCCTTCTTAACCAAGATTCTGACTGGGTTGTTCATGAATTTGGTGGTAACTTCCAAGACATCTTGTGGCATGGTAGCAGATAACAAGACAACTTGAGTGGTCTCTGGCAATAATCTGAAAATGTTGTAGATTTGTTCCTTGAATCCGGATGACAACATTTCATCAGCTTCATCCAAGATGAACATCTTGACCTTATCGGTTCTAAAGTATCTTCTTTCAATCATATCAAAGATTCTACCTGGGGTACCAACAACAACTTGAGCACCAGACTTGAAAGCTTCAATATCATCGCTGACAGAAGTACCACCAATAGATGCATGGACAGTGACGTTCAAGTACAAACCAATGGAAGTGATAACGCTCTTGATTTGCAAAGCCAATTCTCTAGTTGGAGCCAAGATCAAAGCTTGAGTAGATTTTTCGTTTTCATCAATTCTTTGCAAAGCAGAAATGGTAAAAGTGGCAGTCTTACCAGTACCAGATTGGGCTTGAGCCAAAACGTCTCTACCTTCAGTAATTGGCAAAATAGCTCTTTGTTGAATAGCGGAAGGGGTTTCGTAACCGTAACCGAAAATACCTCTAACGATATTTGGTTTCAAGTTCAAGTCATCGAAGCTGTGAACGACGTTATCGTAGTTTGATTCAATCAAACCAGAGTCAATTTCAGTGATTCCGTTGGATGCCATGATAGTGAATTAGGGGTGGGGCAATAGCTAAAAAAAGAAGGGGGGGGGGAGAAAAGGAAAAGGACCTTGAATTAAATGGAAAAGTGCTGAAAAAAAAAAAAAAATTTTAATGATGAGGCAAAACGGGAGAGAGAGAGAGAGACAGAGAAAGACAGAGAAGACGAACAAAAGAAAAAAATTTTTGATGAGATCCTTTTGATCCAATTTGCACGACAATTCTGTACATTGAAGTCTCTGTGTCATACAGTGGGACTCACAGTTACGACACAAATCATTACAACATAATGGGTGTAATAGATGAATATGTGAATTGAAATATGATATGAAAGCTTAATCAAATACTCTTTCGGGCCCATTGCCGTCCTTGAACTCCCATGGAAATAACTTTGGCGCTAGAACACGGCTATCTTCTTCATCATCTACTACAAAGTCCTCGTCATTTGTAAATGTCTCTCCCGCGCCGGCCTCTTCTTCCTCGTCATACACTTTCTCAAAGTAGTCTGAGTTAACGTAACCTTGTCTCTCAAGTGACTCATTAACAGCATTGAAATCAGCCACTCGTCCCGCCAATCGTGCTGATTCCGGCTGGTTTGGTCTAGTGTCATCCCCATCAGCACCTATATCGACCTTCTCAAGATCCCGCAAGATATGTCTAGGAACATAGTCTGATGAAGAAGCAAACACTCTTTCAGGTTTAACGAATTTGTGACCATAGATGTCGGGTCTTTGTAGTGATGCTGGCCTTCTTGTACGTCGAGACAGGTCGTACTTGGAGATGAGATGCTCCACCTTGTCATCTCCACCACCTTCTTTGCGGTACTGATCCCAATGATTATCATACAGTTTCCCAAATTGGTTATCAAATGCCCTGCTTCCGCTACCTACTCCACCGGATTTTCTTGCCTTTGGTGGCGGCTCTTTGGAGGGGTCCCACATAGAATCAAGACTAGGCTTGACATAGTCAGGTAAATGCTGATACTTTGCTGGGTCTAATAATGCATACGGATCTGATGAACTTGTCGACCTGTGCTCAGTGCCATGGTGCCCACCAGCATCTGGCCATCGCTCATTCCTGGATGCAACCTTGCGCTGAAAAGTAGCAGTAGCAGCAGCAGTAGCAGCAGTTGGTGGGTGTGATTTATCGTAAATCACCTCCTGAACTGAAGACTGTCCGAATTCATCAATCCACAACTTCCACCAATCCTTATGTATTCCGCCAGCAGTAGACGAAGAGGTCCAAGGTTTGAAAGGGCCAATGAAATGCAAAACTTTGATTTGTGATGCATTGCCCGCAACGTATTGCGTTGCTGCAAAGTGATAGCGCAGCAATGTTTCAAATGTCAGGTCCAAAATTTTCTGATCACTGCCCTGTTGGTCATAGCCTCCATCTTTATAATCAACATCACCTGGAAATGATGTCGGTTCGCCATGGAAATGCTTGAATGCGGGTAAGTACTCATATGCTGAAGAAGGGGTCACGTTATACAAAAAGGGCAATTTGATCCAATTGTTATCAATATTTTGTCTTTGCTCAGCACTTGTCTCTTGCTTATTGAGCAATTGGAGCACCCAGTCCGGCTGAGAGTTAAAGTATTGGTTCAACAAGCCCTGGTCAGCACCGTCAAAAGAAACATTGGGGTTTTCGGCAGATTCTTTAACTAGAGCAACCAACTCCGCGTATGTCGTTTGGTTTGGTTTCAACAAAAACACACCCGAGTTGAAAATGTCGGGAAAGCCAGAGTCAGGGGCAGCTATGATCTTGCTTTGAGGAAAATCCAACTTCAAAAGATCACCAACTGAGACAGCATTATCTGATGGAAGCAATGGTAACGTATCAGCGTCCAAGTACAATACTTTATCGTATTTGTTCAACGACCAGAGTTTGACCTTTGTGAACGTTTTGCCCAACTCAGGTCTTCCTAAATCGTTTTCCAACTTGTCATAGATAGTCGATGTCAAAGGTGAAACGTCAATGATTTCGTCGTAGTATTTGGAAAGCTTATCTAATTGAGTTGTGGTGAATTGTGACTCGTCAATTAAGATTCCAATGGTGAACTCATGGTCCGAAACTTGTTGGATCCTGCGCAACTGGATTCCTAATACCAATGCACCGGCAAGGTAGTCAGGACTGTAAACAAGAGTGAAAATAGCGTTTGTCATGTGAATGCCGACCTATCAGTTTTTCAATCTGCTTAGAAAAGAAGTTTTCTTTTTTTTTTTTTTTCCAGAAACAAGGGTTACCTCTTTCCGTGTACAAAAAGGCAAATGGGAAGTCCGTTGCCTGTTGAACAGTTTACTGTAGTTGTCAACAGTTGTCGGACAATCAGTCACGTTGATGGGTTGGTTGGTTGGCTGGTTGGTTGGTTGACTGATTGATTTCTTTTTATCTCGTTTTTGGGTTGTTGTCATTTGTTGTTGTTACAAAATCAAAACAATTAATAGTTACACAAAAGACATCATCGAGTTGGATATTGTGTAAGTGGGGACCAATGTGGCATCATAATATATGGGAGCTATGCCAGTGGACAACTATGTTCCGCAATGTTTGGATGTTGCACATGTGAATGCAAAAGTCAACACGGAAGAGGCAATTCATACTCCCAAGATTTGTAGGAAATAGCATGAGCTGGAAACGTTCGATGCGTTTGCATTAGCTCGGGTCCTTATTGTCTGCTAACCAGGACAAGTGTCAAGACTTGCCGTCTAGTTCGGTACACGGACCTGACAACACAGCACAGTCATAATTCCTCGTTTGGCTCTACAACTGCAATTAACCTAAGCTATTTGTACATTAAAAAACTTAAAAACTTTAAACAACCCATTTTCCAGCCTTTCTATTTCTAGAAAACTCTCTCTTCAACTTAACGAGAGTATGACCAGACATTCTTCAACAATCCATCTTGTTGAGCCAATCTGTTCAATGAGTCATCAGCTTCACCTCTACCTCTAACGTATCCACTCAAAGTGTATGAGATGTTTTCACCTGGGATAGCTCTTCCTTCTTCGTCAACTTTAGCAATTGAGATTTGGACTGAAGCGTGGTCCTTGGCTTTAATGATTCTGTTGGTGGCAGAACATTTTCTTGGGACGTATAATTCGACCTAAAAGTTGGGGAGCATTCGTTAGTACAGAGTTCTGGAATTTAGGGGACGTTGCCAGAGGGTTTAAGGATGTGAGCGGGGGGAGGGAGCGTAGGGAGAGCTTGTGTGATACATGGGCAATGACAAGAGGGAGGTGTGACAACTTGAGCCCCTTCTTGTGGACATATGTTGTTTCTGTTGGGTGGGGGGATGTATTCAAATGTCGTCCTCTTGCGGTCACACAGCGCATTTACTCTCTTCGTGTTTCGATAGTTGCCATATAAGTCAAACTCAGTATAACGAACACACTCATCTATATTTTAGATTCCATCTAGTTCCCATACATGTCCAAACTTGTCTCGTACTTCTTCGTCATATGTAGTAGTAGTCTATCTAATTCCCTCCCTTTTTCACACGTGTCGGTTTCCCCAGTAAATTTCTCTTTCCGCTCGTGGCGTCTTTCTCATGATATCACATACTAATTGACCTTTATCGTTTTCCATGTTGGCTTAATGTGTGGTTGATGTGCTACTTGATACGTTGTGTACTTTTTTTTTTTCAAGCTTGCTCATTAATGTTCTTTTTTTTTCTGGGACGTATGTTCACTCGTTTATCAGGCTCGTGCTGTAAGCTTGGACGAGGTCTAAAGCCCTAATCCCCATTAATCAAGAGAAAAAACCAAAACAGCAAACCATCCACTTAATTAAACTCGTCTTTTTCACCATGGATAGGTTTAGTTGTATGACTTACCTATCTGCATTTTTATACATTCTGGCATACGGAGTCCCTCAAGGGCTCTAAACATCACCCAGCGATTTTAGTCAAGGTCATGAATCTTGCGGTGAGAGATGCACTCGTTGCATCATTTACCTCATCGCTCATTTATCTACATTCGTACCTGTTACATCGTTGGAAAATTAAGGAAATACTGCTTTTAGTCTGACTGTCATCGTTTTGATGATTTGTCAGGCGACCCTATTTTTTTTTTAAGTATTCAGGATTCTTCTTGAGTTGAAGCTAATCTTTGCCCTTTGTTTTACAAATTGTACTTTACATTAGTTTCGTAGTATAGGATCCAACATTTTGTATTTTTAGGGAAGTCGGGAAGTAAGTATAGATATTGATGTCTTCTTTTGGTTAGCAGGTACTGTAAAGCTATTTAAGAGGGTATTTGACTTTGAGGTGTGAACGAAAATTCCATTCCTCAAGTGTCTGTTCCTTCTGTCTAGGTTTACTTCCTCAACTTCAACACGGCAACTGACTCAACGTGATGAGTTTGAGGAAAGAAATCAAACCCTTTAATACTCTCAACCTCATACTGTGACCCATTTTCTGTATCATTCAAAAACCATTCAATATCTCTAGCTTGCGAATGCACATTGCACGAGATGTACACGATTTTGGCTGGATTGTACGTGCTCAACTGGTTCAAAAATACGTCATCACATCCCTTTCTTGGTGGATCAAGAATGACCGAAGTTTGTTGAGCCGGAGTATCAATATCCTTGAAGATCTCCTCAGCTTTACCAACTATAAATTGAGCATTTTCAATTTTGTTGAGTTGGGCATTGTGACGAGCAAACTTGACTGAATCGGCACTGACTTCAACTCCAATCACTTTGGAAACATTTTCTGAACAAGTGATGGAGAATAAACCCGAGCCGCAATAAGCGTCAACGAGATAATTGGGACTTGATTGTAGCAAGTTGGATTTGACATAGTTGGTGACCAAGGGTAAAATAGAGTTGTTGTTTTGAAAGAATTCACCGGCTGAAAATTCAAATTTGAAATTATTGATGATTTCTTGAACAACTTGACGTGATTCAGTAACACAGGTTTTGACCAAAGTCTTGTCTCCATTTTCTACAGTGACGCTTGATACAGTTCCACTTTCATCTCTTGAGGCTTCTCCCAATTCAAAAGTACCATGTTTGACTTTGGTATCTTCACGCAACAATATCGTTGCTCCCTTGTCATACGTCTTGTAAGTAGTTTCCAAACGCTTGCGCTCATTTTGTAGCCCCATGTTAACAATTTCAGTACCTATATCACACTCTTCAATGTCCAAGATCGACCCTACTGGTCCAAAATCGCTTTTGCGCCAAGTGGGCCTTCCTTTAGCTCCAAAACCAAAATTAGGCCGATGTTCCAAATCAGCACCGGTCTTTTTAGAAGCAATGTCAAAATGGGGTGTCAATTTGGTTCTGTAGTTGTATTGTAATGGAGACCCTTGTGTTTCTAGAGCTTGGGGCAATTTGTTTGACTCAGTCAAGACTGGTGCAAAATGTTTGAATGCATTGATAATGGTCTGTCTCTTGATTTTCAATTGCTCATTGTAAGAGATGTCTTGAAATTGACAACCTGAACACTTGCCAAAATATCGACACTTGATCAAAGAGTCGTCACGTAGTTTAGATGGTGATTGTATTGATAATAAATCAGCTTCGGCAAATAATGGGTGTGTTTTGAAAATTTTGATGGTAACGATATCTCCAGGTATGCCAAATGGAACAATGACAACTTGCTTCTTTTTGGATTCGTCTATATGCGGCACTAATGCAAGCCCATCCCCATTGGATGTGAAGCATAATATGGCAACATGTTCAACTTGTCTGTGGTATGATTCCTGTATAGCTGCATTGTTGAGAACACCCTTCATGTTGTTTGACACATCATCAAGACTAAGTTGGTGCTCCTCACACAACTCTCTTATTTCATATTCCAATACACCAAATGGACTGGTGGGATCAATTCGTTTGTTCTTGTATTTTTTAGTCTTGTTTCTCTTTCGACGAGTCCGAAGTACTTTCTTTTGTGGCTGTTCTTCTTCCGCAGGAGGTGTAAGTGGTCTCTTCTTATCTTCAACCACTAGAGCCATCTTGGTCGTAGTTTCTTAGCTGGTCGTCTTGTTTAGGCTGTCCAGACTACCTTTGCCTAATTAGCAGCTCATCGAATACAGAAATGGAAAAAAAAAAAAAAAAAAGAAAAAAAAAAAAAAAAA